GTGTATATTTTATATAATTTTGACCATTGTACCATCTATCCAGCTTTCACCATGTTACTGGGCGTTTCCATCATCCTATACGTAAACAACAATTAGCAACATCCTCTCATACTACTGTAAGTTAAGTCAATTTAAATTCATTTTACACTATTGTTGCTACTGTTATTATTGTAATTGCAGCTCCTGATGATGATGGCAAAGTCCATTGAAAGCTAGAGAGAATTAAAAAAAGTATAAAGAGTCCTCTTTGCTTAAATTTTGTCGAAGTACCCAACAAAAGGCGGAAGCTTTAATTTTTCACCTAACTGGTCTAGACGACAATGACCACGTCTCAAGTTATATATATATATATATATATAAACTGTAATTGGCTTTTAGTAAAAGTCGGTGTATTATTATTAGATAGCGTCTTATGAAGCTTGCTCAGTTTGCGTCTTCGAAACACTCGGCACTTGCTCATCTTAAGCTCGTTCCCAAAAGAACTTAGAATTTCCATCATTTTGTGTCTAATGCTGTCAATGAAAAATTTTCTTTCGTGTATTTGTCCTTTTTTTGGATGTTAGTAGTCAATTTCCGAAAAAGAGAAGAGAAGACCACAAATAAACTTGTTTCAGAAACATGATTGAAAGCAAAACCACGGGAAAAACCTGTAGTCAGTCACCCAACGCCCTCACACAACCTCACCCTCCCTGTAAGGTCCTAAAGCTGTCAATATGACTGAGAGACTCGAGAGCTAGATTCTCCTTTGCTTTTCAGAGGCTGCCAGTCGCCACATGCCACATTTCTTGCAATCGGCTATCAGAATTTCACCTCAAAATTCCTATCTTATATGACAAGATCACGTAGGAATATTGCTGATAAAGTTTTGTCGCTAGGTATATTACGGAAAGGTAGCCTTAACTTTTGGAGTTATAATGGCTTTCGGAGAAAATTAGCGGTAGCTGATAAGCGCTGCGGCTATAATTCGGTTGTCTTTAACTGCAGACATCAAAAACTCATGCCGTGCTACCTTAACTGATTTTGATTGCGATGGAGAAAGTAAAAGGCAGAGAGCAATAACGAGCAGTTCCGGAAATGATTTCGGTTCTTCGGATGTTATGCTGAAAAGGATGCTGTGCTGAAAGCAGAATGGATGGAAATCCAATAAAATTGGTGCTTGCTTGCTGTAGAAAATTAGGATCACGTTACAGCGTACGTAACATTTTGTTAATTGATTTTGAGGGTTTCAAATTTAGTGTCTACAATCGTGTGGGCAAGTAGATTGCATGGCTCGCAGTTGGACACGCGTACTTGACGTTTTCAGATAATTGATTGAAACTGACAGCTTTGTCGCGACAAAGTATTTTAGCATATCAAAGCTAATAATTTCAGTGTTTTTAATACACTGCTGCGGCTTCGTCAGTATATTCAGATCATTTCATGAATATATATTTTTACTTTTTGCTGTTGTCTCACTGCACATTGGCTTTGCTTTTTGGAGCGTGGGTATTTCTGACTAGTCATGTCCCAACTTCAAAACACCCTGTGACAGATGACTCGGGATTTAACAAACCAAAACTTACAGTCGCATTTTCAACCGGATCGAGCTTGTTTTTCACACCACGCATTTTCAGTCGCATTCTATATATCTAGACCTGACTGGTATAATCAATGAGGTATGACCAACTGACCACTCCCATGTCCCTAGGATATAGAAAATATAGAATTATTCCACCAGAAGGGAGTTTAAAACTTGGGTCAATAAGTTCAATTTTACACAGCTCATGCAGTAATTCGGCATCTATATACGATCGCTTTTGAACTTGAGTATAAAGAAAACACCTTAGTCATGCTTCCTGTGCCGACACAACCTTCCTGATAATGTAATAACACCTCAATCCTCCATAGCACGTATATCGATGTACAAAGATGACCTTAATGCAAGTTGTGGTAGCCAAGCGGCACGTTTTAGTTAGAACGTACATGCGAAAGTTGCCGTCTAAACTTCAGGAGTTTAGATGGGATCTGAACCGCAGCTTCAATATGTAGGTAGCATGCTGTACTTTCATTTATGGTGGTTTGTTTTGCCGTTACTTAAAATAGAATCACCTCTGAAAGTTCTCTGGTTGATCTAGTCAGAAGCTATTGGTAGGACTTTATATGCAATATACAAATGAGAGAAGTTTAGCCACTTAACCCCAACAAAACTGTTAAGTACAAATAAAACATTTTATGTAAAGGTGTATGCGTTGTTCATAATAAAACATATTTGACTTCTTTTTTCAATTGAAAATAATAATAACAATAATAATAATAATTGTCTACATCAAAATGCGGAGTTTACATTGCGAGCTCTTCCATTCAGCCTTTCAAAGGATACAAAAAATGGTACAAATCAAATCATAAAAATATAAAGTAAAGTAAAGTTGAATGTTTCACTGAAGCAACTAAATGATAAAAATTATGCCATGAATAAATCCAACACAAGAATTTTGAATAATTTGAAATTTTCTGCGGCTTTCTGCATTCAAACTGCTATGGAATATGGGTGAAAGGTACGAGAACTGGGACAGTTCAAGACTTTCACATACACTTTTTTAGGATCATAATTTAAATAATTGATATGGGAATACAGGATCCTGAGTGAAGAATATGCATTTTTTGTATTCATAAGCACCTGTTTTCCGAAACGCAATTTAGTATTAACCCGAGTTTATTTCCTTCTTCTAAAGCCGCGTACTGACCGAGATTCCAACGCAGACCAAGGCTCATGTGGTTACAGATTTGGAGCTGTTCGAATCGGTGTGTACGGCGCGAGCCAACATGAGCCAACGCTTTAAAAGGTCGGCGTTGGCGTTCGATTGCGTACATAAAAGCAGAGTTTTGATTTGATCTGGACATGATTGGCTGCGTTTCTAGTATTTAATCGTTTGTCCGCATTCGATGAGAGCAGACTCATCGTTCGACATTAACTTAACCCAACGCAGTCCAACTCGAAACTAAATTTAGGTGAAGACGAGCGCATTCCAATACCTTCCAACAACAAACGCCAACGTCACATGTGCTTCAATTAATTTGCTCGGGGTTGGATTTTCGGTCTGTTCGCGGCTTTATAGTTTACTTGGAACGCTCTCAATTGTGACGCTAAAATTATTTTTGATTGTCTCTCGAACTCTATTAGGGCCAAACAAAAGAAGTGTGGACTTTTTCGGATTTAATAATGAAGAATGTTGTTTTAACACACATTAAAGATTATACGAGTCAATCAATTTCTTGCTCTGCACAATGTACATCGTCAGCTTAGTATAATTGAGTAAAGTCAGTGTACATATGGATTTTACAATGATGAATATAACGATGTAAATATGAAGTGTAGATAGTAAAGAATAATGGCCCAATGATAGATCCCTGAGGCACCCCGGCGATACAATTAAGCTAGATGATAGTTTGCCAAGAAGTCTAAATTGTTGACTACGATTTTGAAGATATGAGTTCACCAAACTGGTCTGTAAATTAACACTATATTTATTATAAGCTTTAAAGGTATTGTATGGATGGATAGGATGCGTAATATTAACTAGATGCATGTGGTAACAGAAAATAAAAATTTTTCGGTGATAAGATGGAGATGAAGCCTATATATATACTATTTACAACAGGTCAAGTTAAATTTAACTTAAAATAAAAATTTAACTTGACATGTCCGCTAGTATGTTAGTATGCTTGTTAGTAACTGTTAGTGTGGGACAAATCTTGGAACTGAATTTAGTTAACCTTAACCAATTGAACTGAAATACTATATATTCTTTATGATGGATGCTACAAAATGGCTATTTATCATTTTCTGAGTAATCCTTACGATGTGGGTATCAAATGATAGAGCTTGATCAGAGAAACACAATAAGCAAAGTGACATCATTCTAAATAAAGTCTGGCCGCCACCGCAAAATGGTGATTTATCATTATTCCCTTATGATATGGGTATCGAATGGCAAGGCTCGGAGAGCGAAGCATAAATAAGTAAAGCGACGTAACTTAATCTAATACATGTCGGTCGTCTAATAAGACAATGCGATATTATCACAACATGGAGCTTACCAGATGATGGAGCCGGGAGGTGGCCATGGGAACTTTTTAATAAATCGACTCAAACTCAGCGAAATGGGGCTCGTTTAATTCTCGTTGGTCATGGGATCTGATGACTAAGTTAATCGACTACTATGTAAAATAAAGCTCTATAGTATTCCTATCAAATTTCAGAGTTTCAACTTAAGAAATGGTACACCGTATTTCCCCAATCAATTGATCAAGGATACTCGAAAGCTGGAGAGCTATACCTATAACGCCACGGCTTTCTTCCGCTCGATTCAATTGTAACTTGATGCAACTTAAAAGGAGGATAAAAGAAATCAAAATAATAAATAATGTCGCTTATTCTAGTTCATTTATTAACAGATTCATCCCGGTAAGTTATTTAAACTTATATTTACGCCAACTGAAGAAAAAATGGAAGTTGTTGGTGGATCTGTAGATATTTCCTTCAGTATAGATACGTACGTCTACCATATTGAAGTAATATATTATTTATGTCGATCCAAATCTTATAATGTAAACAATATAAGAAGTTTAATGAAGTCCTATCAATAAAATGTACGTTAACTTAAGATAAATTATTAAGTAGTTATTCGATATAAATACTAAAAAGTGAAAGAGAAAATATATTTTGAAAAATAATTTTTTATTTAGATATTAATAAAACAAACAAAAAATTCATAAAAAAATTCCAATTAGAAATAAGCCGCTTTATACTTCCCAACTTTTATGCGATATTGAAGCTCCTTCGTTTCAACTTTTCACATAGAAGCATGTCACGCTTTAACATCAGGAGGGAAAAGGAACAACACGTTTTTATTGGAAGCCTTCAGTTACGTTAAAGGATAACGAAGCATAAAACGGCATATTTTCAACCAAAAAAAAATATTTCCAAATGTTTAGCTTGTTTTGTTAACAGACAAATAAAAGCTAGTTATTTTAAAAAATATTTTTTTCTTTTACTTATTTATCTAGTAAAGTCGAAAGATAGTATTCATATGAGTTGAACATATCAAGCCATGTAATCCATTAGTTTTCACTAAAGCACGATCATGTTTTTCAAGATGAAAGACATAAAGGCAGTAACTGGTTTGAACTGTCTGTATTAGCGTTTGGGCGGTTTCATCTAGACAAGGTAAGAAGTTAAAACTACAGCTTCTCAGAATGGGAAAAACTATTACCAAATCCATTTGGAAAAATAGTTTTCATAGATCTTTTCACCGTTTCAGTGGCTTTTGTGGGATGCAAAATTCCAATGTTTCGGTACAAACATCCTAACGTCGTTACAGATTGTTGGCAATACAATTGCAATTCATCTTCAGTACCTTAAAATGTAACCTTACACGGTCCTGGAGAGGCAAGGTATGTGAGGATATCCAAGACCTGTAATAAAAGTGAAATATATACCCAGTAGAGAACTTCTAACAAGAGCTTTTTACAGTGATCCCGACCAGGACGCTCAGAGGCAAAATAAAGTTCAGTCAAGGTCATAGAATTTATTAATATATATATATATATATATATATATATATACATATATATATATATATGTATCATATTTGCTTTATTTTCAAAAGCGTTATTGAAATATCTTCAAACGGAGTCTTTTTACCATAAATTTAACAACAACGTTCAAAGTTAAAATAATTTTCACACAAGATCGTAAAATTTTTCTCTCTATCCATTTCCAAGTCTCTTTCTAGAAAATCATTTAGCTCTTGATGTGATCTTCAACAGCAAGTAGCAGACAGAACAAAATAGAATGACAAAGAAGGGATGGAAATCCATAACTGCGTATGAATGATTTGGAAATGTTGCCATTATCAAAAAGGCAAACAATCAATGTCCCCAGTATATGAGTATGTTGATCGTAATAAAAAAATAGTAATCCAGATTACACTTTTTTACCGAATATAACAAAGGACAAAATTATTTTAGCAAATGCCATGGCATGTATTTTTCTTTAACAAAAAAATGAAGTCAAGTAGGTTGACTCTGTATTTTCTAGGTAGCGTCGTCCTCAGCACAAACGATTAAGTTCTGCACAAGTTCAACCCTCTGAGAAAAAAATGTAGTTACGAACTTTTCCGATAGAGAAGTTAATCAAATCAAGTCATTCGAACCTTCCTATACCATTAATCCACAGACATTCGTACCCTAACCGACCGATAGTTACCGTCTATCTGGCAACGTTGTCCCTTACCATATTGTCAGATGCGGCAGCGCGCAACGAAGCACTGCGGCAGACTGAGTCCAGACAGCAGGACACGTATCGAAAACGTATCTTTATCATTTCAAATTTTAAGGACTAATGTTAGGGGGAAGCTGATATTCTCTAAAACGTCTAACAACGACGTTTGAGCGATTTTTATTCTTTAGTTTTTGACTTTCTCCGCCACCGTCACTGGGCCGATACCCGTCCTTGGCGCAGTAGTAACCTTGTGTGAAAATTCCGACTAGTACTCTCCAAGTTATACAGAGTGTTTCAGAACTATATGATCAAACTTGTAGGGGTTATTCAGTGTAACAGTAGAAAACATTTCAGTATGGGGACCCATATCCGGAAAATTGTCACTACGGCACTACAGCCCTAACGCGCGTTAAAATTCAGAAAGACGATGAATTGCCTAAATAGGATTTAATGCATTTAATTTTTGCCTTTTGTACATGATATCATCACAACAATTGTGTAGAATGTCGTCCTCCAACCTGAATACTCCGTTCCTGTGGGGACATGTAAAGTCTTTGGTTTACGAAACTCCAGTAGGAGCAGAGCAAGACTTAATTGGACGAATTACAGCAGCATTTGAAATCATTCAAAACGATTATCAAATTTTTAGTCAAGTCCGCCGAAATTATGTGCGACGTTTAAATCGCTGTATTCAGGTTGGAGGAAGACATTTTGAACAATTGTTGTGATGATATCATGAACAAAATTAAATACATTAAATCCCATTTAGGCAATTCATCGACTTTCTAAATTTTAACGCGTCTTAGAGCCGTAGTGCCGTAGTGACACTTTTCCGGATATGGACGGAAATGAGTGACATAGATTTTCGTGATGTACGTACATACCAAAAAAATAATATATCATTTTCGAAATGTAGTGGCGTAGGAGATAATTAGAGCCGTATGCGGCAACATAAATGTTTGATGATTCGATCCATCAGATTTTCCATATGCTCGAACTATATATAGGTTTACGTACGTACTATCTATACCCCAACCAACTAAAGTAATAAAATCCAACCTCATTGTACTCCTAATGCACAAAACGAAAAACCTCGCCCAGTCGGAGATTGCACCAGGTATTATTCGCAAGAGTGAAGTTGCACGTTTGGCATCTTATTGCGGGTATCAAAGGAGCAATAGCGAAGTCTACAAGAACCTGTTTTCAAAGTCTAAGCGGAAAGTGCGGAGCATTAAAATAATTACTAGTGCGGTTATACCACCGCAGAAGGTGTTTCCCATTTACCTGTTAATACTCTGGCAACACACCGGCTCCGTTACATTAACACAATGGATGGAGCTAATTTGTGCAATGAGATATTGCCGTGTATGACCCGAATGTCAATGTGAGCGTTTGTTACGAGAATCTTGCTATATGTTGGAGAGGCTTTTGTTATTTAAATATGCTCTATTTCCAAAGATATTCGTTTTAAGTAATTGGCTTCTTCTTTCGACTTACCATATACAACGTGCATGTTGCACTGGTATAAGCTTTTGATCAACATTGTTTCTGTTGTACGTTTCTACCAGCATGATAAATCTAATCCGCATACATACTTTACATACATGCACTCATGGTAGTAGAGCGATATTTGTGAATGATTATGATAGAAAGACTACTGGCGACTGAGATTATTACTACCATCCAGGAATATTGTAAAATTTGATATATTAAGGGAGCAATAAGGTCACACAGACGCCCCGTCACTCACAACAGCTATTGAAAAAAAGCTACGCTACCTATTTAGAGCTAGGATGCACTTGGTCCCAAAAACTATCGATATAATTGGGAAGTTGCGATTTGACCCTTTCTCAAGAGCATTAAGCATATCTCATGGCGGTGGGCGGTCAGCTATTTAGCTCTCTCTCTACCTGTATAGCTCAGATGATCTCTCTGCATCAGGAACTAGCCGATAGTGCCGTTTCTCTACCTCTAGGGTATCGAAAATGTCAAACAATGTGCTGAAAGGGGTGGTTATCACTTATTAACCTTAGTCACTACAATAAAGGAAATATTTTTGAAGAGAAGCTTTGAGTTAAAAATTCTATAAATATTTTTCCGATTGGAAATGTACCATTTTATGCCTCTTAACCTGCAAACAATACTGATGGTCCTTCATCTGAACTTTTCAAGTAAAAGCGTATTAAATTTTAACAAGATACGAAAATTTGTAACACAACTTGACAATTTGAGACAAAAAAGATTCATTATCATTGAAAGGGAAAGAAGTATACAACACCATATTTCCAGTCTGACAAAGATATGTTTAAATGTTTAGTTCTTTTTATTAACAGCCAAATAAAAGTCTGTTTTTAAAAATGTTTTTCGTTATTCCTTACTGTTTAGTGTTTATAGTTTTAAATAACTAGTTTAATGATGTCTATGCAATTTACTGATTAATAGGACGAGAGGTGCATCTATAATTCATAGTTATGCTTGTCGTTTTGATCGAAGAAATAAAACATACCTATGCTCTAGTTAATGTTGAAAAGCTAAAAGATATCCTTACTATACATTAGTATTTATTCTTATACTTAATGATATGCGAATATTTAAGGGTGTGAATCAACATGAAAAAATAATGTTAGTTTGCGTTATAAACTATGGTCGTAAACTGTTTCCTTATAAAAACTCGAGGTGTTGAAGTTTTAGGAAAAAAATGGAAATTAATTAATATTTTCAGAACTGCTTCAGACATTTCACTGATATTTGATACGTAGTGAAAGTTGATAAAGTTGCATATTTTCGAATGCAAAAATAATTTTTATCTTTAACAGTGGCGTACGTACGGGTATTGACAGGTGTTGATTTAAAAAAAAAATGGTACACCAACGGTTTTTTCCAAATAAAAATTATTTCTGAATTCCTCGTTCCATTGAAAACAAATGATTTTCTTTGAATTTTTGTCCTTCGATGCGCCAATATCTAGTTGATCTGGAATATGTCATTGGCTTTTGACATCTTACAAGTCTCTCTGTTATTCAAATATGTTCGCTGTGACATCTTTTTCATTATTTAGTTTTTACAATCTTGTTCATAATAGTGAATTATTCAAATGCAGAAATGGCGGAAATACATTACGTATATGACCTTGCCGACGGTAATGGTGAGCAAGCCAGACGGATTTATAACCAGAGATATCATATTCGTCTTTTTGAAACTGGTCCTGTCCGAAAAGGAACATCTGAAGGTGGACCTCTAGGTGTCTGAACACCTGAAATTGAGGAAGCAGTGCTGCACGAAGTCGAAGAACGTCCTGAAACGAGTACGAGGAAGATCGCTAGATATTTGTTATCAAATTGTTCGTAGCATTTTAGTGGATTTCTTCTTATATCCTTACCATATTTTAAGAGTACAGGCATTACTTCCTATTGATTTTCTAAGGCCTGTAACCTTTTGTCAGTGGTATCTTCAAAAAATTACACGACATCTGCAATTTGAATCAATGATTCTGTTCAGGGATGAAGCTAATTTTTTTCAAAATGCCATTCAGAATTTCCACAATAATCATTTGTGGGCAGAAGAAAATCCCTACTCCGTAACCGGAACCCATTTCCATTACCAATTTTCGGTTAACGTATGGGAAGGAATTATTGGCAAGCACTTTATTGGCCCATTCTTCTTGCCGGGTACGACTTAACGGATCGACTTATCTCAATTTTCTTCAACAACAGTTGCCTTTGCTGCTTGATGATCTTCCGTTAGTAATAAGAAACAATATGTGGTACATGCATGATCGTGCACCAGCGCATTTCAGTGTAGCGGTTCGTAATTATTTAAAACTGTTTATCCCAATCGTTGGATTGGCCATGGTGGGCCCCAAGAATGGCCACCAGACCTCAACAGTTTAGACTTCTTTTTGTGGGGCTGGCGTACTAGTGTACACAAGTCCCATTAACACTGTAGAGGAATTAAGCGAAAGAATAGTTGCAGCTTGTGAGAATAAAAAACACTCCAGGGATATTTCAACGAGTGCGCAATTCCATGAGAAGGAGGGCGGAGGCATGCATACTAAGTGAAGGGGGCTATTTTCAACAATTTTTGTAATCATTTCGTTGGTTTTATTGTTATGTTTATGTTGTCAGTTATTGTTGCTCGTTACCCCTAACGTGTTTAGTTTTTCCAATTAAATTAATAATAATTTTGCAAGTTA